CGGAACCGGGACGGTGGCTGCTCTTTCGGCCTTCGGTGGGTCGTCGGAGTCTTGCTTGGCTGCCGTGCTCAGAGCAAGATGTGTGGGTCAGGGGTGCCGCTCCGCTCCCGGGCGTGCCTGGCGTGGGATTTTCAGGATTCAGCCCTGTTCCCTCCCGATGCCCCGTCCTGGCTGTCGCGCAGAAGGCGCGGAGGCCTCGAAGAAGACCCCGCCAGATCTGAGAAGCGCGCTTTTGTGCCCAGGCGAAGCCTTCGAAAGCAGCTGTCGTGCAGGCGCGCTCACGCAGAGCAGAACTTGTGTGAGGTTCTGCTGAAGAGGCTTTTCTGATGGTGGGTAGGGATGGGCTCGTGATGCGGTGGAAGCAGAAAACAGGACCGTTCCCCTGTCTCTGGCGGCCAGCGCCACAGAGTTAGTACAATGGCAGGCAGTAGTTTTGGGACCCATCCCTCTCCGTCAGGTTTTTGGGAACTTTGTGAGTGGGATGAGGGTGGGGGGAAGGCTGGCGAGTGCTTGCACGTGGAGACAACACAGTCGTATACACCTTCTCTTCCTGCAAAACCAGCCCAAATTACAGGAAGCACATCTCTGAAGGAGAAGAGTTTTATAACAGCAATTTAGTAAACATTTTTTGGTGTGTGTTTCTGCACTCTGAGCTTTCAGAATACTCAATTTTTCAGACTGATCTGCATTGAGTGGTAATGTCTTATTTTTCTCCCATTCTCTCTCTTTTTTTTTTTTTTTTTAAATATAAGATGAAGCTGGAGTTTGCACCTATTCCTGTTGTCAGGAGTTGGGATTTTCACACAGTAACATCCAGCATGCAGCGAAACTGTAGGGCTCCCTGAAAGCTAAAAAAAAGCACTGGGGAAGAGTTATTTGAGAAGAGGCAGACCCGCACAGATGTAGATTGCAGGGGAAGGGGAATTTGTTATATTTAAATGTTTTCAAGTGTTTGCTGTATGGTTCCTTCCTCTATGCATTGGGCTAGATATGCTGTTGAACAGAAGTCCCAGAAGACTGCAGTGTAGTAAGTCCCAAGGCCAGATAGTTGTGTGCCTCCTTCAGGAGCATTTTCAGGGTTTGCCCAGGGAAGGAAAGCCTTTAACCGCTCACTTGTTCCTGAGTCTGCTGAGAAGTGGCACAGTTGGCACCTGAAACTCAGAAAAACAGCTGCCCTTCTACACAGCACTGAGCCAGCCCTGTGAGCCTCTCTCTACGCTGACTGCAAGGATGAGAGGATGTGTGACCCTGCTTAGAGAGGATGCCCAAGTCCAGGATGGCTAGAGGGACGATAGATGCTTGGGGCTGTGCATGTGAGTGCTGTTTTGTATGGGCTGGGTACGTTTCTGGGTACCTGGCTCAAAATGTGGCTCTGGCATCTACAGAAAGCTACGGGTAGACATCAAGCTAACCACTGAGCTTGAGGAGCGGTTTTTATTGATGCTGTACCCTTTTCCAGCAGCGGTCACCATGAAGAGGAGTAAGGATGGAGCGGGAAAGCCCTGCAGCAAAGGCTGAAGACTTCAGACAAGCTGGCCTTCCTGATGCCTAGCTGTAACAGCTCTCGCAGGTCTAGCAGCGCAGCATGATTAGGATGAGGAGGAAGAAACTGTGGGCATCTTGCTTCTGCTTTGCAGCTGCCTTTTTCCTTGTGGTGACACTCCAGGTACAAGGGCAAGGGAGGAGAGTATGCATGAGAGCACTCTCAAAGTATGACACAATTCTGGCAGATGAGAGAGAGCGTAGAAGACGACAGACATTTTCTGTACAAGTCTATGCTTTAGGAGGGATGTTTAAAGAAACTCTGTCAGCAGTGTTGGCCTGGTGGTAATAGCTGACTCCAGAAGTGACATTACACAGAGAACACCTTTCTTGCATAGCGCTTGGCTCCTGGTGGAGTTTCTCAGGAGTGGTGTACCGTACTGTGCCCTGTTGCTTTGCCTCCATCCAGCGTTGCCTCCTCTGTTCGAGTGTTGGAACTCATTAGACAAGGAGGAAAAGCTGGACCCGTTTCATATTAATGTGGCAGACAGACCAGAGAAATCTGTAAGTGGTGATGGAAATCTGTCAATCAGTCCTGACTTAAAGGCCATTCTTAGCACTGGGAAGTCCAGTAGCTGGTCAACAAAGAAATACATGAGAGAAAAATCAGTGTGGAGGCATATTCATTTGTGGCTGGTGCAGGTTGCCCTAGATTTTCTTTAGCAGAGAATAACTTTTAGATGAATTGAATCAGCCTTGGCTGGCAGGCATGGGACTGTAGGAGACTGCAGCTGTGAGAGGGCCAGGATCTGCCCCAGAGATGTCTTTCAGTTTGGGCTGCTCTCTGAACTGAGGCGCTGCTTGGGACCTGTACCTCCCAGTGGGGCCAGCAGGAGGACTCTGAAGCTCTCCCAGGCCAGCTGCCTGCTCCAAATTGGATCTGTTTCTTGGGGCCATCACTGACGTTCAGTGGTGACTTTCAGTTCTGTTCCACTGAACAAGGCATCTAAAGGTGATACGGCTGCCCTAGCATAGGAGCAGTGCTAGCAAAAGTCTTTGGGACCTCTGTTGGGAGGGTTCGTGACTTTGCTGCACCTCCACTGCTAAGCAGGTTTGGTGCTGGTTAGAGCTTCCCTGTGCCTGGCTGGGATTTTTTTCTGGGGGTGTTCACTGGATGGTGGCACTTGGTGCCCTGGTGCTGGGACTGCTGTAGCACACGAGCTGTCGACAGAGCTGGCGTGCATCAGCCCCCAGGAGTTCAGAGAGAGCTACTAGAAATTTTGTGCAAATGCAGAGACTCCTTAAATTCTGCCAGAGCAAAATTTGGAAGCAAAGAAGGAGCGTGTTCTTGGAGAAACCTGGATGTGACAGGTAGTGGTAGAGTTATTTCAATTATATTGCTGCAGTAATATCTTGTCAAACTATTGGATGTATAAATCTTTTCCCCAGCTAGTGTCTTGTCCACTCACCAATGCGGGAGTGTTTTCTGTATTTTTCTGTACAGCTGTGCTTTGTCCAGCCTCCTGTGTGTGCCGTCCCAGTATCCCGTGTTGCACAGAGTCCATTTAGTCTAGCTACAATCAGTGTATTTTGCTACACAGTGAGAGTGAAAATGACACAGAATGCATGCAGTAAAGCTAGCAGGGAAGATAAATGTTTTCAAAGAACTTAACAGAAAAAAACCCACTCTCCTGCTTTCCAATATCCTCCTTCAGCACCGTCCAGCAAGTGGAAGTGATGTGGCCAAAACTGTCTGGTGGGTTTGAGTTCCACCATCATTCTTGCAGCTGTTCTGGGGTGGCATTATGCACTGCCTGTGAAGGTGCATGCACAAAGGGATGTTTGCATGGTAGCTTGGAGGTCTTTGCCCACCTAAAGCTAAGAGCAGGAGCTGGGTACCCTGTGGCAATACGTGCTGGCACCATTTCTGTCACTGCACTCAACAGACTTCTTTGCCCCAGGGCACTTTTATGGCAGGGGGG